AAAAATGATTATACCTAAATACACGAAACTGAAAAAAATTAAATCCTTGACTGCACATTGTTGTTTTCCTAAGCCTTTGGACACTATTGTTAACTGGTCCAATATGACTCTGTTCTTTCTACATTTGACTTCAGTTTAAAAGGAACCATTCTGGAGACCAGCAGATGGCATAATGGTTACATTGCTGAACTCCTATGTAGTTAACTGCATAGGGTCCTGGACCTAGGAGTTTAAAACTCATGCTGGGTGCATGTGCATGGGTGCCCAAGATCCTGAGAGGAGATTGGAGGAGAAGGGACTGTAGCATAGCCATTCCCCTGGGGGGAGGGGGGGGTGATTTCTGTCTCTCTGGTGAGTACATGAAAAAAAAATAGAAAAAAATATTCTGTAAAAAATAGTCCTTCTAAGTACTCTTCCTTTTGGAAAATAACAAATACATAGTAATTCACTAAGTATTTGTGTTCTATTCAACAAGTACCCATTTTATACCTAATATCCTTTCCCCAAACCTGGGCTTCTCTCCCTCCCTACTGTGCATATCCAATCATGAATTTCTGTTGTATTCACGTTCCTCTCTCCCCACTACTAATATTTAAAATTTTGGAATTCATCAACTCTCACTTCCATTATTATAATAGCCTTGTTATTTGTCTCTTGAGTCCATTGTCCACCCCATACCAAGTGTGTTTTCTTAAAATGCAAAATTTAAAACCTTTCAGTAACTCATTTTTGCCCTGAGAGTCAAGTCCATATTTCTTGAGTAGACTACAAGTGTTTTTTGTTTGTTTGTTTGTTTTTGTTGTTGTTGTTTCCAAAGAGAGAATAGAAAGAATGAACTCCCTAGTGGAGTATGGTCATGCTACAGTCTCTTCTCCTCCATGTCTCCATCCTGTAAAGATTTGGGGCATACATGCACATATGCAGTTGACCATGTGGGATCTGACTCCCTTAACCCCAAAGTTACAAGACCAATCCTACCTAGACTGAAAGTCTTAACTAGCTGTTCTCATTTAATCGTTTTCCCAGATTCAACCTGCAATCTCCTTAACACTGGTAGTCAAGCTCCACTCACATTGAACCAACACCTCCTTGTCATAGGTTACACTACCTAACCTCTTGCTCCCCTAATTACTCAGCTGTCCTTTTCTTTGCCTGTTATTCATTCTTAAGGGTTAAGCTTTCACCTGAAAGGCTATCCTGATACCCCAGAACTTGATGAACTGGGGTAACGTGCTGCCCCTTCTCTATGATTCCCATTTTCCTACTCCCTAGTAACTGGATTTATAATGAATTAAAAATGTTTACCACTTCATATCCATTTGTACACTGTGAGCTCTTTGAGAATGGAGACCCAAAGTATTCATAGTACTTCACATGGTATTTCAAAAATCCTTATGAAGTGATGTAAATGAATAGTAAATGAATGAAAAGTTCTATGCTTGGCAAGATAGATTTTACAGTTGACAAAGTAAAAAATCACATATATTCACAGTTCTTAACATCACAGTCCTTATATTCTAGACAGACTTCCAAAGAAAACTCTTTTTGGTGAAACTTCAACAAGTATTAAAATAAAGTCAATTTTCACATATCTTCTAGGGAAGAGGATGATGGCTCAAGATAGAGTAGGTGGTATGTGGTTTAAAAAAAGTTGTTGAATGAATAAATAAATGGATTCATATTTAGTTGTCATTAACATTTTCCCCACTAGAATATTTATCCAAACTGTTAACTAGTTAATTAAAAAAATTTTTTTTTAAATTTGTCAGAGGGCATGTTTGTTCACTGAAAAGACAGAGAAAGAGAGAAAGTGAGGAGGAAAGTGAGCATACACAACCCCCTGGGGAATGGTCATATGATAATCCCTTCTCCTCCATTTTCCCACTGTTCAGGATTTTGGGCTTGCTTTTCAAGTTGCAGGGTCTGAGCCTAGACCAGCACAGTTGGTCACATGGGCTCCAACCACCTTAACCACCATGCCAATAGCTAACCCTAACTATCATTGTATTTATAGGACTTATTAATAAGTAGTGTTATGACCTCAAGACTTGGAGTCAAAGTAAAGGATAAGTTAGGGGCTTGATGTTTCACGGATCATCTATGAATCTATGACCAAAGAACACTGATTCCAAATCAATCTGTTGAGAACAAAGAAAAAGGAGAGGGAAAAACTCATAATCTCCTCCAGAAAATACATGTATAAAATTTTCTTAGAATTTGGTCACTTTATGGATGTATTTATTTGGTTCTAGAGGGCCCGTGATAGATTAATTAGTTGATGGGCCTCACTTTACCAGGCCTAAGAAACATCAATTGACCAAAGGCACTGAGGCAACTGGATTTAATCAGCTCTTGTTCCTGAAGCCCTTGCCTCTCTGTTGTATAGTTATATAAGCCACAAATACGTGTCAGTAATTGCGACATCCAAACAAGGGGTATCTGCTTCACCTGGATAGAACAGGGATCTCTGGACGTAGAACTTTGGCAATGCTGAGGAATGCCAGGGGAAGAAAAAGGTTTCTAATCATTAAATAGACATATTATGGGTCTTGGTCAAACTCTTTTTGAATATGGATAATTAAATAAGCATTTGTTAAGTACTTGCTATGAACCACTAACATATAAAAATATAGATAAGATTAATTCAAGTTGGGTATCTTTACTCCTTCCAATTCTTTAGTTATTTTCCAAGATTCTGTTAGTCTTAGGCATGGGCTCCATCTTACTAGCAATGAGTCAAAAGAGAATTCAGCATTATCTCAGAGTTGGCTAAAGCGTCACTGAAGCCTTCATAATGGTAACATTCAGAACACAGGACACATTAAAGACTTTTAAATATAGAAAAGATTTTAGTTTAGCTTTTCTAAGTTCAACTCAGGAAATATTTTTAAAAATCAGTAATGTATATTTTTTATTATTATATATTTTTAAATTATTATCAAGTATTAACTTTGAAAGATACTCCATGAGAAGTTTTGTGTAGGAAATATGGGTAAATATCTTAAAACATTTAACTTTTTATAACAGTATTTATTACCTATTAAAACCCAAAACAATCATTAATAGGTCAGAAAATGCTTGATATGGGATATTCCATGGCCTTTGTTATTTTTTCTTTTTAGGGTGCAATATAACAATTTATCCACTAGATGGAGATAATTTTCTTAAAATAAGAATTTTTCTTTTTAAAGATTTGTTTATTTATTTATTTAAAAGCATACTCAATGGGGTTTCCCACTATGACTCCCCAGCCCCAAGTGTTTTCCAGCCTGCCAGGATCACAGGGCACACACCAGCCTTATGTGTCCTGGTTGACTGGGGAACTGAACTCATGACTTTCAAACAGTCACCAGTAAAATAGACTGTTGTATTACCCACTGATCTACCAGAACAGGACCAGAAAAGTTAACTTTACTCATGAAAAAAATTTCTTTTTTTTTTTTTTATAGAGAGATTTTTTGCTATAGAGCACCTGCATTCACTGGATAGACAGAAAGCAAGAAATAGCCCATCAGGAAGAATGGCTACACTGCAATCTCTTCTCCTCTACTCTCCTCTTGGGATCTTGGGCATGCATTTACACATACTTGGTGTGAACTTAAAGTCATCAGGTCTGGGATTTGAACCATGGTCGCCTATGTGGAAGTCCAGTGATATAACCATTACACCATCTGCTGGCCCCCAAAACAATTTCTTAAATATTACCCAAAAATTAAAATCTCACAATTTACAGGAAGTGATAATCAATATTGATAAAATTACATTAACTCTAAGAAATACTAGTATTAGCTTTACATAGATTGAGAATGAAGATCTAAGACTGGTAAATAATGTTTTATTAGACTTTTATTCTTACTTATTAAAGAAAACTTGAGCAGACTTAAACAAATGTCTATAATAGATCACTGAATATTTATGAGGCTGGGGCAAGGTAAAACTAGTACTGTTAATGGTTTGTAGAATCACTCCAAATTTTAGTAACACATGTGTTCTCAAAATTTAATTTGTTTTGAGAGATAGGCCTGGGATCTGAGGTCATCGGCATGGCTGATTTCCATTATAGTATATGTTCCTATAATCACAATGCATTTTGAAGAAAAAGCACTATTACTGAGAATCTCTAGTCTGAAGCATTGCCAAATGTCAGTCTTGGGCAATGACCTTAGAGAAAAAGAGACTTTGTATTACTAATAATTTGATGAACAAACTCTTCTAGTATCTGTGTCCTTTGATGAACACTTGAATAAATACAGATATATGAATATACTACTTCTCTACCAAGCACTAAAGTCTAGTTAAGGCAACAGAACATGAAGTAATGAAAGAGAAAATATTCAGTATTTGTATTAAATAACATACACATAATAAGATACTAAACGCTGTTATATAGGCAACTGGGAAATGTGACTTAGACAGTGAATGCGAGTGGAGTTTAGGAAGATGAAGGACCTGCATGTGAAAGGCAGTTAACCAATGTTCAGTCAGAGCACAGTGTGGTAGGTGTGGATGGTGCCCAGCAAAAGAGAAGCAAAAAAAAGCACACTCAAGAAGCAATGAGAGCTTCATGGATCCTGCGAACTAGCCATTCTGGGGAAACAGAAATCAAGATTTCCCACTGATAATTCGGCCTACAGCACACAAAACTCGCGTGGAGAGGCAAAGGGAGCAGGCCTTCTTGAAGACAGCTTCATGGATCCTGCGAACTAGCCATTTTGGGGAAACAGAAATCACGATTTCCCACTGATAATTCGGCCTCCAGCACACAAAACTCAAGTGGTAGGAAGACCCCTTTCAGGTCTCCTGTCTCTGTACCTGTCTTTGTCTCTCTCTACCTCTGTATCTGTCTCTATCTCTGTCTTC